TGAACTATGAACCTATGGAAACATCGAAAGTCTTGTGAACTATGAACCTATGGAAACATCGAAAGTCTTGTGAACTATGAACCTATGGAAACATCGAAAGTCTTGTGAACTATGAACCTATGGAAACATCGAAAGTCTTGTGAACTATGAACCTATGGAAACATCGAAAGTCTTGTGAACTATGAACCTATGGAAACATCGAAAGTCTTGTGAACTATGAACCTATGGAAACATCGAAAGTCTTGTGAACTATGAACCTATGGAAACATCGAAAGTCTTGTGAACTATGAACCTATGGAAACATCGAAAGTCTTGTGAACTATGAACCTATGGAAACATCGAAAGTCTTGTGAACTATGAACCTATGGAAACATCGAAAGTCTTGTGAACTATGAACCTATGGAAACATCGAAAGTCTTGTGAACTATGAACCTATGGAAACATCGAAAGTCTTGTGAACTATGAACCTATGGAAACATCGAAAGTCTTGTGAACTATGAACCTATGGAAACATCGAAAGTCTTGTGAACTATGAACCTATGGAAACATCGAAAGTCTTGTGAACTATGAACCTATGGAAACATCGAAAGCCACCTCTTGAGTCTATACATATTTATTTCTGGGCCGATAGGCTGTTCTGTTATTTCTGGGCCGATAGGCCGTTCTGTTATTTCTGGGCCGATAGGCTGTTCTGTCATTTTTGGGCCGATGGTCGTTCTGTGTATTACAGGGCTTAATGCCATTCTAATAAGGGCTTAATGCCATTCTGTTTAAGGACCAATGTGTAAATGTATGAATCCACCAGGCCAAGGGCTAATCTGTGATGTTGTGAACCAATGAGGCCGTTCTGAATATTAGTACAGAATCAGATTAACTACCTATCTTTTACATTATATATATACATTGCTTTGCATTGTAGTTCTAGTTGAACATTGGGTTATCTAAGTACTATTATTCACTGAGATTGTCTCACTCTGTATTTTGTCTGATTCTGTAGGTAGTAAATCTGGAGGTCAGTCATAACCCTCGATGCTCATCTTCCTTTGACAACCTCTGTGTGCCCAAGCATTTGGGTGAAGTCTATCCGTTTTTGTGAAGTTGCGAAGTTTTGGCTTATTCTTTGTTTGCCTATTACATGTTGAAGTTTCCAATGTTTTTGTTATATGCCCCAAACAAGGGGCGGGGTTGTATATGTGTATGTAAATATTTATCATCTGATTCACTGTTTGTGATCCTGGCATGATAGTGGTCGCTCAATGGATGTAGTTTCTTTTTATTTTATGTTATTTTATGATATTTAATGCTTCCGTTCAGGCCCCATATGTATGTATATCAGATTTAATGTCTGTTTCCGATTAGGTCATGCCCAAACTTTTAGGGGCGGGTTTGGGGCGTGACACTTTTACTATAAAATTTCCCTTGTTTTTCACGTACTCCCGAACCTCTAATGCTATGCTCTTCCTTTTATCACTTTACTAAGTTTGTTGCTTCCCTACTCTACCCCAATGCCCTCTATTTATACTGAACTAAACGTAAGGCCCAAGTTAGGAGATACACATGTAGAAGTCCTTTCTTTTTGCCATCTGTATTGGATACACACATAGCAGTTCTCTCTTTGCCACCTGTATTGACCTTTGATTTTTATTGCCATCTGTCTTTACCTCAAGAATCACCATGGGCCACAGTAACCCTTGGCCCATCGAAATCTCGTTTGGCGTTGTTTTTTTTTTTTTTTAAATTCAATTCTAAAGATTATACTTCTTAAAATTACTTATGATTATACGTTAGGTTCACGTCTAAAAATCTCACCACCCAACACAAAAACATCACTTACTACGCACTGAAATATTTAATATTCTAAACATGCGATCTCCCAATCTATTTCCTTTAGCAATTTAATCGATTAATCCCCAACTTTCTAACTATGCATTTATTTATTTATTTATTATTATTGTTATTATTTATTGATTTATTTATTTTTATATTTTTTTTGAATTCTATTTATTGTGTTATTAAATTTAAAAAAGAAAATTCGGGTGTCACAGCTTCGATTTGAAGGACAAGCTGAAGCTCAAGCTTATATATCGTATAATCCTCATCATGACCACCAGTCTGATATTCATGGAAAAACACAACAAAACATAATTCACTGTAAAACATCATAGTGCCATACAATAGTGTTCACTCTACTTCTACTTCTAACTATATATATATATATATATATATATTATTACATCATAAGTAATAGGCACCAATTACAAGCAATACAAACCACACAAATTCCATTTTCGCATCTTTGCGCTCTAAATTCGAAGTTGTTCCGTCATACATCTTTGTTGTTCGGTCATAGCTTGAAGTTGTTCAGTCATACATCGAAGTTGTTCGACGCCAATTGGCAGTTCTCCTTCTACTTGTCTTGAAATTTCATGACCTCTAGATTGTGAATTCATAAGCAAGCACCATTCAACGAAACTACCACAATCATTACAAGAGTAGAATAACTTGTTTTTGTATCGGTTTCAGAAATTCGAATATTGGCCTTTTTGTTACATCTAGGACAATTTTGTTCGAGTATGTCAACCGATTTGAGCTACTACCATTGACACTTGAAATTGACATCTAAAAAAACAAGTTATCCTCATTAAACTATACGAATCAAGGTTTAAATCACAACGGAAATAACACCGACGACAATAACAGACTCAAAATGAACATAAAAGAATTAACATAATAGTTCATGGTCACACAAATAAACATAACATAATCAAAATCATAACAAAATCAAAAATAAAAAACATAACAATGAATCAAAATCATAACATAACCAGATTCATAACATAACCCATCTAAAAATAACTAAGGATTAAGCACAAGAAACCCTACAAAACAAAATCACAATCATAAAAAACATAACTAAAAATCACTAAAATGAAGAACAAAAAAATCCATTTTACAATGAACAACCAAGAAATGTTCAAATGAAACAGAAGAACTCATTCCCAATAATCAAACTAATCTGACAAACCAAAAATCCATTTGACATTACACAATTTTTAAACCCATACTAATCAAAACAGCCAAAAATCGAGAAACTGGGCTCTTGAGGTAAATCTGCTAATCTAGTTGTTAATTTCTTCATTGAACCTGAAAGTTTGGTTGTGAAATGAATCAACTAGGCAATGCAAAGTGCATTGGCATTCTCTACCTTATTTACTAAAAATATAAACAAATAACTACTATAATCCTGTTTGGTGCAACTTTATGCTAATAATCTAAACTTGGAAGTTAAAAACATCCCCTCTCCTATATCCCAAGCTATTGTCACTGGTAAAGGCCCACTTGAGAACCTGTTGGACCACCTTAACAATCATGTGGCTAACAATGCTTGGGTCTATGCTACCAAATTTGTACCCGGATCATAAATTCATGATAATATCATTGATCTTGTGTTGTGTTAATGTATGATAATGGTTTTTTTTTTTTTTTTTTTTTTTTATTTTTTTTTTTTTTTTTTTTTTGGGGTACATTTCATAGTTACTACTTAGTTGGATTGAAGGTTCAAACGGGTTGCCTTGTGAAATTATGTAATTTGGAAATTTACAATCCATTTATTTCGATGAAAAATATTTTTCCAAAATGCTTGTTGCATTTTACTGCATTTGAGTAAATTAACTAAAAATATTTTTCAAACAAAAAAAACCCATTTACCAATGAACAAGAAATGTTGAAATCAAACACAAGAACTCATTCCCAAGAAGCAAACTAATCAAACAAAGCAAAACCCATTTAACATTATAGAATTTGTAATTCAAGGCAATAAACACTTGGTTTAGGATTGGATGATTTGGTTGAGGAATTTCATCGAGCAGGTGGTAGGTAAGGTAAAGTTTACTCAATTCCCAAATCAAAAGGCCATAATCCAACATTCAAATTGTTTATCAGATTGTCAAAAGCCCTATTTCCATCATTTTACAACATTTATCAAATTGTCAAAAGCCCTAAATCCTCGTTCAAACAAAAACAAAAAATTAAAAAAAACAAAGCCCTAAATCTGAAGCCCTAATATATATAAGGGCTAACATATATATACAGATATATATACACCAGATTACCTCTTAAGTCGTCCTTCGTCAAATGAGATGGAAATATAGAGAGAGTCGGGAGTCGGGCGTCGAAGTCAAGGAAAGGACAGAGTACGGCATCAAAGTGAAGAGGAGGAGTTGAGGGAGTCGGGCGTCGGAGTTAAGGGGAGGAGCTCTCTCTCGTGATAGAGATCAGAGATGTGTATCATCTGAATGTATCATCTGAATGAGGGGATTTTGAATTCTGAAATCTGTAGTTGAAATTACATTTTCAATATATAATTTCAAGCCACATCAGCAAGTCATTGTCCATGTAGACTACAAACTTAGACTTCAAATCTGTCCATGTAGACTTGAAATCGCATTTTCAACATGCAACTTCAAGTTAAAATTACATGTTGAAAATGCAATTTCAATTTGAAAGCGTATGCTCAAAATACGATTTCAAAACTGCGTTACTTTCCCAAATAGTTTGAAAAATAAGTCAATTCTCTAAATAATTTATTTTTTTTAGAATATTTAAAATAAAATAAAAAAACTCCACGAACATGCTCGGAGTTTTTTTTTCAAATAATCCAAAAAAAAACTAATTAGAGAATTGACTAACTTTTCAAACTATTTATGAAACTAACTTACTTTTTGAAATCGCATTTTCAAAATACGATTTTAAATTGAAATTGCATCTTGAACATGCAATTTCACCGTAAAATCGCAAGTTGAAAATGATGACGTGGTGAAATTGCATGTTGAAAATGCGATCGCATATTGAACATGCAATTTCAAAGTGAAATTACATGTTAAAAATACAATTTCAATTTTAAAATCGTATTTTCAAAATACAATTTTAAAAATATATTAATTTCCCAAATAATTTGAAAAACGGGCCAATTCACTAAATAGTTTCTTTTTTTGGATTATTTGAAAAAAAAAAACTCACATGCTCGCCATTGTGAAATGAAAATGATGAAGTTGTAGCTTCATCTCCATTTATGTAGAGCTTCCTCGTTCCTCAAATGGTGGTTTCAAAGCTAGGATCACTATTGAATCACTCCTTAACAGTCAACCAAGCAAAGCAAATCCAAGCACTCATACTTGTTAATGGACTTTACCATCTCGAACCCTTGATTATCCGTCAAGTCCTCATCTCTACGCCCCATTTCTCTCAAATCACTACTCAATATGTCCGTCTTATTCTCCACCATATGCAAAACCCAGATGTTTTTTCTTGGTCTTGCACCATTAGATTTCTTTCCCAACACAATCAGTTCAGAGAAGCTTTTTCTCTGTATGTTCAGATGCAGAGATTGGTATCGTGTCCAAGTTCTTTTGCCATATCTTCATCTCTGAAGGCATGTGCTAGGATTGGGTATGAGATGGGTGGGATTTCAATTCATGCTCAAGTTCACAAATTTGGGTTTTGTGGGGTTGTTTATGTGCAAACAGCTCTTGTGGATTTTTACTCTAAGTTAGGGAGTACGGGAATTGCACGTAAGGTGTTTGATGAAATGGTTGGGAAAAATGTGGTTTCTTGGAATTCAATGCTATCTGGGTATTTGAGATCAGGGGATTTAGCCATGGCTCATAGTGTGTTTGATGAGATGCCGAAAAAGGATGTTGTTTCTTGGAATTCGATGATTTCGGGATATGGGAGAGAAGGGAATATGGAGCAAGCATGTGCTTTGTTTCGCTTGATGCCGGAAAGAAATATAGCTTCTTGGAATGCAATGATTAGTGGCTATGTAGATTGTAGAAAGATAGAATTAGCACGGAGTTTCTTTGATGCAATGCCTAGAAGAAACACTGTTTCTTGGATTACAATGATTAGTGGATACTCGAAATGTGGTGATGTTGAGTCTGCTCGGGAAGTATTTGACCAGATGGGTGAGAAAGATTTACTCTTGTACAATGCAATGATAGCTTGTTATGCTCAAAATAGCAGATCAAAGGAGGCCCTTCAGCTATTCAACAAGATGCTTGAACCCGATGTAAATATTCAGCCAGATAAAATGACGTTTGCTAGTGTTATATCCGCTTGCTCTCAACTGGGAGATCTGAGATTTGTGTCTTGGATTGATTCGTATATGAATCAACTTGGAATTGGAATGGATGACCATTTGGCTACTGCTTTAATCGACTTATATGCTAAGTGTGGAAGCATTGACAAGGCATACAATCTGTTTCGGGGTTTGCAAAAGAAGGATTTGGTTGCTTATACGGCAATGATTTTGGGATGTGGCATAAATGGTAGGGCAAATGATGCCATCAAATTGTTTGAAGAGATGATGGATGTCCAAATTTATCCAAATTTAGTTACCTTCACTGGGATATTAACTGCCTATAACCATGTTGGTTTGGTTGAAGAAGGCTATAATTGCTTTATCTCAATGCAGAAGCATGGACTTGTGCCTTCAGCTGACCATTATGGAATTATGGTTGATCTCTTAGGGCGGGCAGGACGATTAGACGAAGCATATCAGTTGATAAAAAGCATGCCAATGCAACCTCATGCTGGGGTTTGGGGAGCGTTGCTGCTTGCTTGCAGTTTACATAATAACGTTGAGCTTGGGGAGATTGCAGCTAAGCATTGCTTTGAGTTGGAGCCTGATACAACCGGTTACCGTTCTCTACTTGCCAGTATATATGCCTCTGTTGGGAGGTGGGATGATGCCAAGAGTTTGAGAACAGATTTGCAGGAAAAGGGATTTACCAAGATTCCTGGTTGTAGTTGGATGGAACAGAGTTGAGTTGAATCCAAATGTAGCAAAGGCTGTAAATTATATTGCTTTATTGGATGGATGGATGACCACTTCGTACTTTTATTCTTCGTGTTGAAAGTTATTTTATTGTTTTCTTATTCACCTCAACAGTTGGAGTTTTGCAAGTCAGTTTGCTTGTCAAGTCCAAATTTTTGCCTCTCAAGAGGTCCTTGCTAATGGAGATTGAGTTTTGTGGGAGGAAATGATAGTGTCTCCATTTTATACTATGGTTTCTCAAATGTTTGGAACTTCTCAGTTGCCATCTAACAATTAATAAACATTTTCTCCCATCTTAAAGTAGTCATAGTAACTTCAGACATCATTACTTCCATTTATCATTGTCTTCTTTATTCTGTGTTCTGTGATTCTTGGGCCAAACGATATGTAATGAATACCTCTAATGGTACTGGTGACTTCGTTTTTTGTTGTAAAATTTATAAATAACATAATTACAATAATATATGCCACTTTATGAGATGTTCATATATGATTTCCCACCTTCTAAGTTTATGTGCTGAAGATACTGGCTGCAGATTATTTTCACTTATAATCTCCTTGCCAATATTTTTGTATGATTTATCCCACAAATTGTTTTGTTCTATGTATTGAATCTCTAATATCAAAATTGCTATTTTGAATTTGTCCCCCTCCCCTTCGGTGGTGTTTGTTTTGAGAGATTGGGACTAATAGTCCGTTGTTTGATTTAAATTTTTTTGTATCGGACTATTAGTCTCAAATTCATTGGACTATTGTGTCTCATTGGGGGGGGGGGACACAAATGTTGTTTTGAGGGATTGAGGAGTGGAATTGGACTATTAGTCCATCTGGTCCATTGTTTGGTTCAAAAATTTTTGCACCGGATTATTAGTCTTAAATCAATTGGATTATTTTGTCCCATGAGGGAGGGGACACAAATGGAGGGATAAGAGGGATATGGGATTAGGTGATGAAATGACTATTTTGACCCTCTATTATTTAATTATGTATTATATTTGGTAAAATTCAATAAAATTTAAATGCTTCAATTTAAAAATAAAATAATTTTATTTAATTTTTATTGATGTTTTATTTATTTAATTTTTTAAAATAATTTTTGATAGATATTTTTATTTTAAAATTTTGTTTATATTTTATTTAATTTCATTATTTAAATTTTAGTAAATGGTTTATTTAATTTCATTATTTTTTAAAATAAATTTATTTAAAATTTTAATTAAAAAAATAACATATATTTTTATTGATTTAATTTATTTAATTTTTAAACAATAAATTTATTTAATTGTGTAAAAAATAAAATAAAATAAAATAAATTTTTATTTAATCTAGTTAAAAATAATTAAAATATTAAAGATATGTTTAATATTGCTATTACTTAGTAAATAATTGAAAGGGATAAAATAGTCATTTGAACATTTATCATTTTCCATAATATTCTAAACAAACATAAGATTCATATCATATTCAACAAAATAGTCATTTCCTGATATATAATCCCATGACTAAATAAATATGGGATACAAATCAAGTCCAACCAAATAGTCTGAAGACAATGTATCCCAAAACTAACAGTTCGGTAAATTTCAATCTCTCCTTATCCAATTCGTCTAAACAAACACACCCTCAATGTATTCACCAACTCGCCAATTTAAGAAAGAGAGAGGACATTTAAAATATATATATATATAAAAAAACGTTTTAATTGTAACTCTTCCCTCAGTGTATTCACGATGTCGTTTTAATTGTAAAAAAAAAAAAAAAAAGCGAGGTTTAAAAAACCCCGTTAAATATTATAAAATTAGTAATAACCCATGCTATGTACGGCATGTAAAAAAAAATTAATAATATATTTTTTTACAAAATAATAAAAAAGTTAAATTTTTGTATGCAATTTATGAAAACAAAGAATATTGAAATTTGTAATTTAAGTCCCAGAATTTTATCACAATTTATTTATTATTTTTTAATTTGTCACAAATTTAATCATGTAACTTTCAACCCTCTTACTAGAATTGCAAACTTAGGTAAGCTCAATCCAAACAACTAGAGCCGAGCTTAAATTTTTTAAAAAATTAAACAACATAGTTTTTAATTAAGTGGGACCTTTGCAAAAATTTAAAAATTCAAATTAAATTTGAGTGGACTTAAGGAAAAACACCAAACAACCTGAGTAACCAAAACAAAATTATATATATAAATATATAAATTATTTGCTAATTTATTTTTTAAAATAATAAATAAAATTAATTAAAGTTTTAATATTAATGAACAAAAGAAAAAGCAATATATTTAAGATTTCCAATAGAATTTTTTTTGAAAATATTTAAAAAAACACCTTTGAGAAATGGATTATCAAATAAAGGATTGTTTGGGAAGTGCCATATTAGTTCACCTTTTTATTTTTTTTATCTTTTTTGGGTCACATCACATCTCTACTTTTCTGTACACATTTTACTAAAAAGTGAAAATATACTTTTTTGGCACTTTCCACACTACCACTAAGTTGATATTAAAAACATTTACTTTTTATAATGGCATAAATAATTTAAATATGATTTTTTAGAAATTCTTTTTAATTTAAAAATTACAATAAAATATTAAATAAAATAAAAATAAATTTCTTACAAAATAAAAGTATTTGAATAAAAAATGGTAAGAAGAAAATTTAATATGGTATTTTCATTTAATCCAAAAATAATTCTAGATGAATAATAAATTATCACCTATAACCTTCTTTTTTACATAAAAATTTTTTTAACGAACTATCAATTTTAATAAAAATAAAAATTAATGTTTCTTTCTAATTTATTTTAGCAAAAGTAACCTTTTAACAATTTTATTTTAGCAAAAGTAACTTTTTAACCATTTGAGCCAAAGATATCTTTATTCTTTATTTAAATTCTTTAATTGACAATTGAGATAAATAATTTAAAAAAAAATTCTAACAAAATCCACCATTTTGGTAAGTACTAAAAAAGTTATGTTTTGTTCTTTTGTTTAAAAAAAAAAATTATTAAAAAATATTATTATTCAAGTCCTTATAATTTAGAATGATATAATTTTTTTTTATCAAATTTAAACAAGAAAAGAAAAAAAATTACAGCAATTAATAATTTAAACACATGTATTTAAAACAAATTATATTTAAACTAATAATATTATGACGCATCATTATGACACATGTGAATATCAATCTCAATCTAATTATAGTAATGTAATTTGAAGAAGAATTTAAATTTGAAATTTTATTTTATAATTTAATAAAGGATGCAAAATTTAAGAAATGAATATTGATCTCATTCCAATTATAGTAACATAATTTAAGTAAAAATTCAAATTTGAAATTTATGTTAATAATATAAAATTAATTTATAGACCACTCATATTGTAACACGTATTAACAAAAAATTAAACAAAATAAAAAAAAAATGACAAAAGAATTACAACTTTCAACCTTAATGAAATGAAAATATTTTGTAATTATAATAGTATATATATATAGATAAATCATGGAATAGATCATTATTTAAAACTTATATATTATCGGATAAATCATTATAATTTTAAATTTAAATTAATGGAATGCTTTCCATATTAGTACTCTCTCAAATTTGAATTTTGAAATAGATTAGTATACTTTCTATTATTTATTTTATATATTTGATATACTTTCCATTCGAAAGTCATAAATCAAGAGATATTATTATTATTATTATTATTATTATTATTATTATTATTATTTGCCTGAATGAGAGCTATAGGGGATTTTTTTAATTATTTACAATAAAATATTTAGAAATTATAATTTGAGATATTGAAACTCCTACAAAATTTGTGGTTAGAAACCCCTTTTACATATATAATAGATAGATATATTTAATAATAATTTATATTTGTTTTATATATTTTTTTAATATACAAATTATTTTTTTAGATTTTTTATAAAAATAATTTAACAATCTCATCACTAACCGTAGTGTATGGAAGAAGTTGAAAATGATATAGTAGTAAGTATGAAAGAAGTCAAAATGGCTTATGGGTGGAAAGAAGTCAATAAATGCTGAGAGTTTTTTTATTTAAATCAAAAAATTAGAAAATTAAAATTGAGATATTAGAGCTCCCACAAGACTTGTAGGTTAGAAACCCTATTTTCCTTATATAATATATAGATATATAGATGTAACGTTTAATAAAACGCCATTAAATAAACACCGTCAAAACTCATATTTCCTATAGTGCATAGACACATGGTGCTCCATAAGATGTTGATTGGTAGATAAGAGTAGGGGTCCACGATTTATGTTGGGGATAGGAGAATAATATGGGGCTAAATAATTGATGATTGGCTTGGAATATGATCACGTAGTGTTCCGAGATTATTAAATAATTTCCTTTGTTATTGTACGTTACCCCTATTTTTAAGGATGTCCAAATTTCAATGAACAGAATCCTGCACCGTATCCTAACGACCTTGTAACTCTTCCCTTAAGCTTCCCTTTCAAGTAATATTATCTTCTGTATATTGCAATTTTTTATTTTTTTTTTCTTTTCAAAATACTTGTATTTGAGCTGTATGTTTGACTAGCTGCACCTTCTCTTTGATATCTCTCGACCTGTAATCACTATTCGCTATTGGCTCTCAGAACTACAATCCCTGGAAAATGAACTCGACGCTGCTTTGGAACCAAAAAAAACTGCCCCTTTCCTTTTCACCTCCCTAAAATGACATTATTTTGAGATACTATAAGGTGCAATACTTACGATTAATTCATGAACAATGATAAAGTCATACAAGAACGTGATTTCAATGACACAATAATAATAACAAAATAACAAGTACACATATAAGTGGTTTGGCAAGATGTCTATGTCTACGACGGAGCAAAAATCAAAATCCACTTTACACAATAACGACTATAAGAACAACTCTTTGGTATATTCCCAAAATCATATAAATTCTTAACGTTGTAATTTTCTTGCTTTTTTTTTTTTTTCAAGGTTAGTTGCTTTTGTTTTATGTTTAATTAACCTCACACAAGTTGATTTTGTGGGCTAATATTGTGAAGCATACATGAGCAACAAGACTCTGATTTTTGTGTCCTCAATTCAATACCTAGTTCTCTTAAGAGATAATAAATTTGATTTCTGTTCGAGCTTGCTTTTGCTTCTTATAATTGGTTTTCTAGCAAGATCTAGCAAGGACATTTGTCTTTTTTTTACTTGCCTATCTGAATGTATGCAAAATTTGTCTAAAATTCTTTTTTGTTTTCAGGGTTTCATTGGCTTTCACTACACAAGATTGTAAATCCTGTTGAGTAAGCACAGTAAAGTATAATTCTAGCTACAACCGAACTATACCAATGCCGATTAAAGTAGTGATTTCTTTGAAACAATCTACTTGGACTCATAAGAACAACATAATGGTTATGTTGGCGATTCAATTTCAAGAAACTCTCTTTCTTTTTCCCTT